TCCCTGCCGGCCGCGGGAAGCCGGTACAGTACACTCTCTGCCCATCCCTGGCACGGGTCTACTCATGACTAAGGCCCGCCTAAGGTGCAGGTCTACTCATGAGTAAGGCCCACCGAAAGTGCTGGGCTGAGCTGGGGCACGCGGGTCAGAGGGGCTCCTCTGTGGACGGGGTGTGCAGCGGCGGCGCAGGAAGAGGAAGGAGAAATGGGGCGGCTCCAGTTAGCTGCCAGGCGAGGAAGCTGGTGCGTTACCTGCCCGTCCCTGGCGCAGGTCTACTCATGAGTAAGGCCCGCCGAGGTTTTTTGAAATGCTGGAACGGATTAATCCCGTTCCCATGCATTTCCATGGGAAATGGTGCTTCGGCTTACAAGCATTTCGACCTACTAAAAGACAGCGCGCGAGAAGGGGCGCCTGCCTCTGTAAGCAGGGGTGGGCGGGCGAGTGGCTGGAGCGGCCTGAAGGAATCCTGGCTCTTCCTTCCCGCCTTTGGACCCGATCCGCCGTTTACCTGCCTGCCGTTCCCTTTCTGCTTTCAAGAGGAGGAGAATGGAAGGCGATGGGAAGAAAGGGGCCAAGGAGGAGCGAGGAAGGGAGGACGAGGGACCGCGGGGCAGCTTTGGCTAGGGGCGGCCAGGGCAGCCTTAGTTTCCCCCCCCTTTTTTTTATAATGCAGTCCTGACAGAAAGAAAGAGAGAAAAAAACCCTCTCACCGAATCCTATCACTATCGTTCATGTAAGACAAGAGTCAGATATTCTGATTAGCAAAGCATGGGCCGGATAGAACAACCGTCGGTGTGTGTGTGTGTGTGGATACACACCTGGCTATAGGACAGACCTGGGCAAAGTGCGGCCCAAGGGCCACATAACGGCCGGCGAGCCGCTCCTGTACAGACCGCCGGACATCAAGACCATTCATAGCTTTCTGACTAAAGTTGATCAGTTGCTTATCTTTAACATTTTATTTATTTATTTATTTATTTGATTTGATTTGATTTGTACCCTGCCCATCTGGTCTATAAGACCACTCTACCGCAAAAAAACCTCTTTAGTATTTGTGAAGATTAACCAGATTAAAATAAAAACAATCATAACAGCACTGTTTCATTTTATTTTTAAGTAAAGTTGGTTTGGCCCCGAAAACAGTTCCGATTTTTCATGTGACCCCCTTATAGAAATTAATTGCCCACCCCTGCTATAGGATCGTACTCAGAGAGTGATGATTAACGGCTCCTTCTCAAACTGGGTAGAAGTAACAAAGGGGGGTACCCCAGGGCTTTTCAATTTTTTAATTAATGACCTGGATCAGGGGATACAGGGAATGTTTATCGTATTTGTGGATGAGACAACATTGGGTGGAATAGCCAACACCCTGGAAGACCGAAGCGAAATTCAAAATGATCTGGATGGGCTTGGGCAGTGGGGTGAGAAGCAAAATTCAAAATGATCTGGATGGGCTTGGACAGTGGGGTGAGAACAACAGGATGAAATTCAATGGGGATAAGTGCAAAGCACTGCAGGTAGGAAAAAGAAACCAAACACACAGTTACAAGATACCTGGCTCAGCAATACTACGAGTGAGAAGGATCTTGGAGTCGTTGTGGGTCAACAGGAGGTAAACCAAACACACAGTTACAAGATACCTGGATTAGCAATACTATGAGCGAGAATGATCGTGGAGTCATTGCAGGTCAACAGGAGGTAACTGTGATGTGGCTGCAAAAAAAAGGTAAATGTTATTTTAGGTTGCATTAGCAGAAGTATTGTGTTCGGAACTGGCTTCGCCTCATCTTGAGTTACTGTGGCTGTTTCTGGACCCTGCACTACAAGAAGAATGCCACCAAATTGGAACAAGTTCATAGGAGGGCAACGAGGATGATCAGGGAGACTGGAAACTTCATAGGAGGGCAACAAGGATGATCAGGGAGACTGGAAATCGAGCCTTATGAGAAACGACTGAAAGAATTCAGCATGTTTAGCCTTGAGAAAAGAAGACTGAGGGGTGATATGATAGCACTTTTCAGATACTTGAAAGGCTTTCATACAGAGGAGGGTCAGGATCTGCTCTGGATCAGCCCAGAATTCAGGACACGCAAGAATGGGCTCAAGGTACAGGAAGCCAGATTTTGGTTGAACATCAGGGAAAACTTTCTACCTGTTAGAGCAATAAGACAGTGGAACCCATTGCCTTGAGAGGTAGCGAGTTCTCCAACATTGGAGGCATTCAAGAGAAATGTAGGCAACCACATGGCAGATATCCTGCTCTCAGCAAGGGGTTGGACTTGATGGCCTTGATTCTATGATTCTCTAAAATGTTCAGATATGCTTCATATAAGAGACTATCCCAACAAAACACATGCTATGGTTGCTATCATGCTGCTTTTGCGTCTATTCTCATTGTGATCCCCATGCTGTTGTCTTTTGACCCTGTAGTGGACACTCCCCTTTCGACAGTCTGGCCTCCTCATGCTTCCTTAGTCCACTTTCCCTCCATCCTTCTGCCCCCACTGAAATTACGAACTGCACTAACATCTACTGGTAATCTTATTCTGTCTTCATGGAAACAGAAAGCCACAACGCTGGGAATGGAAATGCCACTCTGAAAGAGGGAAGATGCTCGAAGGGTAGGGCACTCCGCAGAGTTGTACCATCCGTCTCCTCGTCTGAAGACACCGAGAGACAATTGCCCATCCTGGAGGAAAACCTGAACGGTACTGTGTTTTGGAAGAACCAGGGCAGGATGATGAAAGGAGGGAGGAACTAGCAGAGGGCACCTTTTTGGCCAGAGAGGGAGAGGAGCTAAAAGGAAAGAAGGGGCAGTTGGAGATATAGAAGGAGGAGAGGCTTGTTGGGAGAGGAAAAGGAGGATGAGGAAAGGAAAAGAGGACTGGGTGGAAATACGGGAGGAAGGCCCCTGGACGGGGGAGTGGACAGTGTCCTAGGGAGGATGCTGAGAAGGAATGGAGGAGAAAGACCTATAAAAAGCCACTATATTGGGGTGAGACTGAAGAAAGGGAACAGAGGCAAACGTTCTCGGGGTGGCAACAACGGGAGGCTCAAAGACAGGAGAACAAGCCGTGTCTAGAGACCATCCTGGGAAACCTCATGGGGCGAGACCCTTCAGGCCAAGGCTGAGACAAAGCCTGGGCAAGAGAGTAAGGGAGCCCCAGGTGGGGTGGGTTTTCCACCCTCCCCAATAAGTTCAGTGGGCAGAGGTACCCAAGGGGTCAGGTGTTCCACAGAAGTGGTGTTAAAGACTTCAGTTCTACCCCTATACAACTAGAAGGGGACTTGCTAGGGTTCAACGATGTGGGTTTTCCACCCTCCCCAATAAGGTCAGTGGGCAGAGGTACCCAAGGGGTCGGGTGTTGCACAGAAGTGGCGTTAAAGACTTCAGTTCTACCCCTATACTGTACAACTAGAAGGGGACTTTCTAGGGTTCAACAATAAAAGACACAACATCTCTGAAGCAAGAGGCAAGATCCGCTGTTAATGCTGAAGTAAGCGAGTTGCTACCGAATAAAGAAATTTTGTTAGAAACTCATGGTGTTCCTGAGTCATCCGTCCAGCACCCTTCAGACGAAAGGGAGAAAGGAACTGCACGAGATCACATTGCAGTTCCATAATCAGGACACAAATAAAAAGATATAATCAGTCCATAAGTGAAACAACACTATAAAGTCCACACAGTAGAACAACTACCAGAATATCTTCTCAGGAGGCTTTAAAGCATGGAAGATTGCTGCTTTTGACACATTTTCATGGTAAAGAAAAGTGGAACAGTGTGGCATAGTAGATGGAGCTCAGGAGAGCTGAGTTCCAAACCCCACTTGGCCATTTTTCTGCATCATTGCTTTAGCACCATCTGTTTTATTGGCCCATTGTTGTTTTTAGAAGTTTTGTTTTTGGTTTTGTGTTGCTTTTCACTGTAAACTGACCAGAGTAATGCCTTGGTACTGATGGGACCAGTATAGAAATCCAAGTAATAAATGAATTTATTAATGGGAGCGGGATACAAATTGAATGAATGAATGACCTGTCCTAGAGTAGGCCCACTGAATTAGTGGGGATTTGGTGAGCAAACATCTCCATAAATTCCAGCAATTGGGACTGGATCTGCTCAAGTTGCAACTTACTGATTTGCAATGTAAGTAGCCCTGTTTGAATCAATAGAATTCATGGAGTAGGTGACAATGGCTCCTAGACCCGATACGGATGTGCCCTTGGAGCCCTGGGGTAGGGGAAGAAGAGCAGGATGGTGCGCCTGTGACAGGAGGCTGCCTCTTTTCCAAATGTGAACTGCTAAGGTGGTAAACCTTTCTCCATATTTTTGGGACTGCAGCTCCCAGAATCCCCAGCCAGTGCTGCCAATGGTAATGGATTGTGTGAGTTCTAGTTCAAAAGATATGGGTGAAATAATGTAGTTTCAAGGTACTGTGATGTTTACTGATTGTGGGCTAGTGAGAGGTGACCGGCTTGGCCATGCTCTACGCAGAATGCTGGTCTGGGTGGGTCTTTGATCTGATCCAGCACAGCTGTTAACACTTGTTGAGAAATTCATGAAAATGACTTCAGTCTTCAAAGTGGCTCAAGATTTATGCTTTACATTTGGCATAATTGAGTTACATAGCTGTGTTGTGAGACAGTTGGATTTTGGAATGAGAAGAAACGGTGGTGGGAATCAACTCGGCCCAACACGGTGCTTACTACACAGATCTTGCAGTAATACATTATGTCAAATGGCAGGCATTTTGCTGCGTGAGGCAAAGAAGAAGGTCTCTCTCTCTCTCTCAGTCCTTGGACCAAGGCTGACCAGGTCAGTGGTGGAATCTTTCTTAATTGTGGCGTTGGGTGAAAGGCTGCTCATCCAGGCTCTCTGAAATGTCTACACGGAAGGTTATCTCTGAAAAGCAGACCTCTGGTTTCTGACCTTGCGCAATGGCACCCTTGGTTAGTGCTTGGTCTGAGACTCTTGGGGAATGGGAGGGACCTCCAGGGAGGGCGAGGAGAAATCAATGCCTGAAATCAAAGTGAACAACAGAGGCCAGATTCCTGCAACCCCTTCATCCATGATTCAAAGCCAGTCTTGGTTGGTCAAACGGAAGGACAGGGAGTGACTCAGGTGTGTAGCGGAGGAGGGTGAAACAACAGGGCTTTTCTCTCAACACAAATGACAACATTTCCCACAGCCCAAAGTTTGCCATTTCCTCTGAGGGAGCCACAGACAGGCAGTGGCCCCACCGGTTGTGACCTGCTCCCTGCTGTTTTCCTCCCTCCCATAGATATTCTCCCAACTATGTGACTTTAGTGCTAATTACAAGTACTGTAGATCCGATCTTTCTGCATGATTATGCCGCATATTTTATCCAGCTGGCTGGGCGTGTGTGTTTCTGTGGCCTTTCTGGTCACATTATTTTGTCTTGTGCAATCTCATGTATTAGTACTTTAAGGTAGTTGTTGGGCCTGTCCAGAGGATATTGATGATGCGCGGCATGGGATGGGGTGGGAGGCTGTATCCGATTCCTTCTGCTTGTCTTCTGCTCACACTGCTAAGGATTCCAACTGCAGTACAATTTGTAAAACTGTATGTCTTTTCTCCTAGTTGAGCGGGATAGTCCTAAACAGATACAACACTGATCCCATACATTTACAACACGTACTGTCATTGATTTACTATGATGACTGTTTTCTAGAATAAAATATATAACTGCCATATGTTTTCTTAATAATATGCAGTATATATCTGTGACTTGATCAGAGAATACAGTTTGGCTCACTTTCCTGAGATACCTGCTTAGTAGGAAGTCCTGACAGGTTGTCAGCAGACTGTAATTTGAACTGTGTTGTCATGCACATAGGGGCTGTCATATATGAATAGTGGACATAGCGCATAATATACGAACGAAAACTAGAAATAAATTGCACCATGTATTTGAGAGCCAGTGCAGTATAATGGGTTGTGTGTCAGACTAGGAGTCAGGAGACCTTAGTTTACATCTCCCTACTTGACTATGGGAATTCACTGCGAAATGGCATGGGTCAAGCCACCCCTTAAATATCTCACACACTTTGGAAATCCTACTAGGTCACCATATGCCAAAATCAACTTGATAGCATACAACACATTTGGAGCACATTTAAATGTTGGGAAATGATGTTTACTACCATGCTATCACTTAGCTGAAACGAACATGGAGGAGACATGAGAGAATTCATCAAAAATACCCATGAAAAAAAATCCATAAGCAACAGATCATTTCCATATATGTTTATAAAAGAAAAATGTATAATCTCAGATTTCTGAAATTATGCTCGATGCAAGGTAATGTTTCTGTCCAGGAGAGACTTAGAGCACCTTAAAGGCCAAAAAGTTTTATTTGACATAAGCTTTCACAGTGTGCAGTAGGTGCGTGCCAGTCTTATTCCTTCTTTTCCTTTTGCTTCTTTCCTTTCTTTTGGATTCCACCTCCAAGAACTCCCATCTGCAGACACAAACATACTGTACATTTCACTCACCTGGAACAGGCCCTGTCTTCTAAGCTCTCGCAGGTCTACTTCCTGTACAAAAATGAAATGGCCCCAGTGCTTCCTGCCTGGTTTAGGTCTTTGTGGAAAATGTAGTCTTGCTGCCTATTAGACTCAATATGGGGCACACCAAAGAACTATATCTGCCACGAAGACCTAGGCCTTCCAGGAAGCAGTGCGACACTTTCTTTTTTTTGCACAGGAAGTTGGTCTGAGAGAGCCTGGAAGATAGGACCTGTTCCAGGCGAGTGAAATGATGTTTGTGGATAGGAACTCCCAGATTTCTGCCTGGGGAATTCCTGGAGAATATTGGGAACTAGAGGTCCTTCCCCCAAGGAGAGAAAAGAAAAAGAGAATGGCACAGCCTTAGTGCAAAGTCTTTGTCACCGGTTGTAACTGGAAGCTTATATTAGATAAAAGTTTCACAAAAGTTTTTTTTTTTTTTTTTTTTTGCTAGTCTGCAGGCGAGAAATGGTGCCTTAATTCTCTAGATATATACATGTATATATGCATATATGTATATGTATGCATTGGGGGTAGGGTTATGCTCCTAACAATTAGTTATGGAATTTGTTTCCCTAAGAGTCTGCTACACATAATGTATATTATAGTTGTATTGATTCTGTTTATTCTTATGCAGTTGTTCTGTGTTATTCACATCTGATCTGCTGATCGTACAAATAAAATTATTATTATTCTCTTTGCTATAACAGAACAGCACCCCCCTCCCCCTGCAATTTTTTGCTAAGGAAGTCACTCGCCAGCTTCCATAACCCGAGACGGTCGGCTGCACATGCAAGGAAAGGGGTGGATGAGCCGAAACAGTTTGGAGACAGGCTTGTGGGACCAGCACCTGCTAGACAGGCTCGTGGGTATCAAGAAGAGCATGTCCGTGCTTTTACATGCCTTTCATTTCAGTGGAGCTGATCCAGAATGTTCTGGAGTATCATGTCCAATATGAGTTGTTAACACTGATGTCGTTACCTATCACCACCACCAGAGAATAGAGCAGGGGTCTCCAAACTACGGCCCGCGGCCCACATTTGGCCCACCTTTCCTTTTTATCCGGCCTGGGCATAGAAAGAGGAGGGAAGGGAGACCCAAGCGATCCTCCACCCCTGCTGCCTTTGCAAAGACAGTGGGGGCGTGGGATTGCTTGAGTCCCCCTTCCCTCCTTTGGCCCTCGAAAATGTGTAAAATATATAGTGTGGCCCCTCATACTGAAAAGTTTGGAGACCCCTGGAATCGAGTGATAGAAGGGGAGGCACTAAATATGTCACATGATTACAGCTCGTGTTTTATTAAGCAAGGAGTCTCACTGAACTAAGTATAATTCTGAGGCCCAGTGGATCCAGGTCTGTGCTACTTACGTCAGAGGAATTCTGTGACAGATTAAATTTATTTATACAGTACCTCGCTTTTCAGCTGTGATTCATTACTTAAAAGCAGCTTATAATTTAAAAACAAGGAACCAGATACAATGAACAGATTAGGTTCTACTATTAGGTGTCTACTTGATTTGCAGTAAGACCTGCAAAGGTGTCTCACTCTTAACATCAGCCGTGAAATTGCCACTTAAGGAGTATCCCTACTACAAAGTTACATCAGTTCGATAACACTTTAACTGCCATAGTTCCGTACTGGAGTATCCCTACTACAAAGTTACATCAGTTAGATAACATTTTAACTGCCATAGTTCCGTACTATGGAATCCTGGGATCTGTAGTTTGGGGAAGGAATTAGAATCCTCCACGACAGCGCTGAAGCTCTCCAAGGGGGACTTCTAAGCATCTCACCAAACTACAAGCCCTAGGATTCTTTAAGGTGGAACCATAACACTTACAAGGCAGACGCACCTGAAACAGCAAATTCTTGTTCTCCGTTCTGGCTGGCCCTGTGCTTGGCTATCAGCATCTCTGATCCTCACCTTGTAAAATGCGTGGGGGGAAATCAACATTAATTTTGAGGCATATGAGAATTTTATTGCACAATTGTCCCACCTTCTTCACATTTTGGGGGGGAAGGGGCTGTAGACACTGCTATTTTATATTGCTAACGATTGTGTTTTCTACTGCTTATTGAAGGGGTGGGGGCTGATGATGACATTAAGAAGACAGACGCATAAGTGTCTTTTAATTAGTAGCACTAAAAGTGGATATGCAAAAAGGTGTTTTCTTCTGCTCCATTTTTGTCTGTAACTTCCAGAGTCCTACTGGCATTACTGGCAATAGGATTCTAGGAGTTGTTGTCCAAAAAAATATTAACTTTTCCTAGCTTTGTCAAAGACTCCTCTTATTTGGAAGCACCTAAACTGTTTGTTCGTCTCTGCTGATGGGTCTTGCAAGTTAATGTTCAAATCTTTGTTAAACAGCAACTTCAATGTAGTTGTGTTTTGTATTGTTCTAGTGAATGTCTCATGAGATGAGTGAAATAGGCAATTGCCTCCAATCTACCCAGCAACTTAATGTTGGTCCTGGCTCTAGTTCCAGCTGGTTGACCGCATTTGTTTAAAAACAAACAAACAAATAAAAAAATTGCAAAAACAGCAGCAGTCTGAGAAAACTGAACTCTGTCCACCAGTGATGAGAGGAGGAGCTGGTAACATGTCCAGTGGACGGCGATCAAGACCTCCAGCGAGGAAAAGCCCACCCCCCACCTCTCTGGGGAGATGATTTCATTCTCAGAAGTGCTCTTAATGTTCAGTCAGAATTGTGACTTAAGCCCATGACATCCAGTCCTGGCCTCTGAGGTAGCAAGTGAACTAACTTTGCCCTTTTCTGTGAGAGCTATCGTCTTCCAGCCACATGTCTTCAACCTGCCTGGTTGAAGTATTGTGTTTCATCAACTCTTCTCCACAGGACTTGTTTTCCGTACGACTGCCCGAATGTACGTGTTGTCTTCCTCTGAACTCAAGCTGTTTGTATCCTGGGGTATTGTGGCACCAACAACACACCACAGGACACCTGTCAAGGAAGGACTGGGAAACTTAGCAGAGGGTCTTGCAGTACGAACCCTCTTCAGAAAGAGCTCCAGGGGAGGGGGCGGATTGCAAGCGTGCTCGTTAAGTATTTGAAGAGGGATGTCAAGGGGTCTCTTCTCTGAGCGAAACATGCCAGCCTTTCCTCCTAGCATTCTCCTTTCCTGCAGTTCAGAATGGCCAAGAATATTTGCAGGTTGAGGCAGCTCCTCATCCAGAAATCCACGGATCACTGAGGATTCCAGAAGACAGGAAAGAGAGACCGATTAATCCTATTTTAAGGCCACAGCAGAAGCAATGCAGAGTCCTTTTGCCTGCGGTCACTTGCAAACACACCAGCTGATACTGAGCCTTGGAGGCCATGGCCAGGCCACCACGGGGACCCTTGTCCTGTTCAACTCAAACCTGTTTTCAGTTCTCAGTAAAGATCAGATAAGGACAAACAGGACCGAAAGCCAGACGAGGAGCACCTTGCCTTCTCTTTCCCCAGCCATTTTCACTAGTCCATGGTGCTTCCTGCCCAGGGAAACTCATTCCGGTCCTTGTTCCCTTCATCTGCCATGCTGTAAGAAAGAAGAAGGTCTTTGACTCCAGCCCTCTGCCCCTAGACGTGCTTCCCGCACCATGAGTGTTCAGTTTCAGTCTCAGCATCTTACAAGGAGCCAGAGGAAAGAAGCAGCAACAGACCGGAGAAGCGCGGCAAGGAGAAAAGGCAAGAGGACAAAGACTGGCCGCCAGAAGAGAGGGAGCTGGCTGCCGGAAGGGCTTTACCCTTCCTGGTCTGGTGCCGGACATGCCTTATTGCAAGGCCCGTTTGATTAGCAGCAGGTGAGACTGACATCCCTCTACCGGGTGGGGTTTGGTTCCCTTTTGATTTCCTCCATGGAGATTTCAGTAGACAGCTCAGGGTGGGAATCTGAAATAAAAGCACAAAGACAAAAATAGCCAGGGTGTGGTCAGTAGGTGCATTACCCCATGGGAGTAATGAAGTGTGGCTTTCTCCCCCTGCTCCCATCATTCATTCATTCATTCATTCATTCATTCATTCATTCATTCATTCATTCTTTCTTTCTTTCTTTCTTTCTTTCTTTCTTTCTTTCTTTCTTTCCTCTCCCTCCCTCCCTCCCTTTCTAAACATATATTTTCCTTTGTGACAAAGTCTTTTCGACATAAAACAGGGAGTCGGAAATGTCCCATCAGCCTTCATGTGTAGATACCGTGGTTAGGGAGTTGCAGTACAAATATTTTGAGTGCTACACATGCCCCACCCCGATGGGGTAGTAACCCTCCAAACCAGGGACAGGGGGTGAGATTTGTTCACTCTACAGTTTAATGTGAATGTCTCTAACTTACTGTTCCCAAACTAATAGGTGAACCAAAGGCCAGGTGTATATCCAAATACACACTTTTTTAACATACAATAGTACATATTCTGTAGCCAAAAACTGCATAAAATATTTGTATTACTGAAGAGAACATACAGAAAGATGTCACATTAAGGGAAACTCTGTCGGCTTGTGCCCCATTTATAATAGTTATAGGACTGATCATCAAGTCGATTCCAAGTTATGGCAGCCTTTCTAGAGTAAGGGAGTCCTCGAAAGTGGTTCCCTGCCGCCACCTTCTGGGGGTGCCCTGGGGCCTTGCCCAAAGCCAGATAGACCGCCTCTCCTCCCTGGAGACAAGAGCGGGGAATCAAACTCCTGACCTCTGGCTCTGCAGCTGGGTAGCCAACTCACTGAGCTATCTGCCCAGCTGGGTCCCCCTTAGAGATTTTGGGTTTCTTAAATACTTTGTAGACTTTGCTGTCCTCCTTTATTATTTTGAGCCCAGCTCCCTTGGCACTCACCCTCCATATCTATTGAAAAGAGCGATGGCAAAATAGTCTCTTAACGATTCTGCCACGTGAGAAAAATCAGGCTCAGAAAAGTTCACAGCTTACTTTCAGCAGGCCCGGTCAAAGATCCGTTTGCTACGGCTTGAGGCGAAGGGAGCTCTTCGGTCGTTTCTGTCGGCTGGCCCTCGTCCTCTGAATCCATCAGCACAAGGATGTCGCTCGCCTCTCGGTTCCTAGGTGGCAGGTCCAAAAAAGTGACCAAAGTGGCCCTTTCCCCAGCATCCCTCCCCTGCCACTTTTCCAAATCAAGGATGTGCCTCCTTCCGGATGCTGCCGCCCGGGCTCCTTCCATCAGCTCATGCCAATGTCACCAACTGAGGGACGAGGTGAGTTGCTGCTCGACAACCACACACCTCTGCCACTTGACGACTGTATCTACACTGCCTGGGACGAGGTGAGTTGCTGCTCGACAACCAGTGAAGGTTCCACACACCTCTGTCACTTGACGACTGTATCTACACTGCCCAATCATAGCAAGGCGATACCATATTTGCTGTCATAGCATCTGCGGTTTGGGTGTGATGTTTACAATTCTCTACTAGCCAGCTCCAGTGCATTGTCTGAACTATGGCAGGTAAAGCTATCTAACTGCCTTATCAGAATATGCCCCCAGGATGCTGTAGGCTGAAGGCAGGACCATTAAAGCGGTATCGGATTGCTATACCTGTGAAGTGCCAATGTTGTTGTTGTTGTTGTGTGCCTTTAAGTCAACCAATTTACAGCAACCCTAGCAGGGCTTTCAAGTTAAGGGAGATATTTAAGGAGTGGCTTTACCCGTTCCACACCCCCAGTGAGTATCTGTGGCTGAGCAGGGATTTGAACCCAGGCCTCCTGACTCCCGGTCTATTACTTTACCTACGACACAACACTGAATGCATCTTAAGTCCTGAACAGTTCCTCTCAATGGATTTTATGTCATCAAGTCATCTCCTTATGGCGTCATGACTGCCATTTCAGTCCATTGGCCCAGGGCTTATTCTTGACCAAGAGGACATTAGTACAGCCTTATGACACACACACACACACACACACACACAGAGGTGTCTTGCCAGATTATTATCTCCTTTAGCAACACACACAGCCTTTTCGGATGCAGCTCGGAATAGTCATCCGTCCAGACCAAGCATCCACGTGATTAGGCCGTTCTTCCCATCAGCTGCTTCACGACCCTTTTAAGTGGAGAATGGGTGGCCTTGGGGTGCTGTTGGACTCCCAGTCCCATCATCCGTCACCACTGGCTGTGCTGGCAAGGGATAATGGGAGCTGCAGTGCACCAGCATTTAGAGGGCCGCATGTGTCCCCCTCCTGTTTTAACTCGAGATGTCAAGGCTTAAACCGAAGCTCATGTCCCCTCACAGCTCTGGGCATTGTTTAATGAGAAGAACATAGGCCTGCCTAGAGGTAGCAGTTTCCACTCCTAAGGCCTTAAAAATCTAGGATGCTGGCCTCCATCACACTACCTTATTTGCCCATCTGGGCTTGCCATTGCCAACTTTGACTGGCCGTGGCCCCTCTGGGTCTCTCAACACCTGTCCCCACCCCCAATCCAATCTTTTTAGCATGGAAATCCGGCCCCTGAAGTTCGGTAAAACCAAGTGGTCTTTTCCATTTAAGAAGAGGAGACACTCACCTGAGGATGTTGCCTGGAAGATATAGAGAGAGGCAGAAAGAGAGAGAGAGAGAAAGGCAGCTTAGTCAACAGATTATTATTTGGTTCTCTTTAGTCTGGGCCAGTTCAAGACATGTTGCTGCCTACGGCAAAGATCCCTTTCCCACCAAGATTCAGAAAACCCCTAGACGGGTAGTTCACTCTTCGTTCAGCTCTGGCAATAAGAGAGAGTGCCCTCCATGACACCAGAAGGTGGCAAGCCAGCAGGCCTGGACATTGGAGTGCACAGCCTTTACCTGTCCGCTCCCTGTGGGAGGCAAACCCACCACAACATTATTCCCTTGGCTCCTGGAGCCGGCAGGTGCTCTTGACCAGAGAAGGGAATAAGAAGGATTTAAAAAAATTTTTTTTACTGGCACTGCTTACAGTAAAATTGTGCAACTGAGATAATAATGGAAACGACACACATTTCACTAAATTACACTAGCGGTTGGTTTGTTGCTTTTGATTTGCAACCATGAGATCCATTAGAGTGGTGGTTTGCAACTTTTCCTAAGCCGGACCTGTGAGTCATTCTAGGCTGGCTCCGTGTGTGCCTGTGTGGACACATGTTTTGCTGAAATGACAGGAATCCCATTTTGCATGAAGACAATTTGAGCAAATTGCAGAATCTGAGCAAATTGCAGAAACCTCAATGGGGCACTGCTTGCCTCCTTCTTGCCACAAGGTAAGAAATCCTGCAAAAATTGAAATATTTCTCATCAAGGTGTCTCACTACATCATGACAACTTAAACTGATGAGAAACAAGAACTGAGGGAGTCTTCTTTTCATCCACGCAGCTCCCTCCCCAAGAAAACAGAAAAGCTGGGGCAGGAGAAACCACTAAGGGGTTGATACTACTGCTTAGCATCTGGCCACTTTGTGCAGTCTTACGGAGCCCGCCGCCTTACACTCCCTTTCCGCTATATTTAAAATACATTTCTGGTGGTGGTTTGAACATTCTGTTCAAAGAGAAATCAGATTTTGGAAGATGATGCAAACAGATTTGCTAATAGAGGCAGTACGACCTATTTTGTCTGTTATTTGCAGTCGTAGCTGACCTAGTAAAATATCCAGCACTGCAATTATGTATAAGGAAAAGGCTACAGCTGTACATTTTCAACCCTCCTCTACCCAATATACTACACCTCTTATTTCTTTTCTGCTTTCCATCAAATCTCAAAAGAAAGAGGGAGGGAGGGAGGAAGAAAGGCAGGCAGGCAGGCAGGAAGGAAGGAAGGAAGGAAGGTTTCTGTTGCACCCCAAAGCTTGGTCCCTACTTTATAACAAACTGCCTATTCTCCATATAAGACATAGCCTTACTGTTCTCTTTCAGGTGTATCTTAACTTGTTCTACTGGACTAACAGAGCTTCCTGCCATTTTTATTTGTCTGGGAGAGTTCTTTAAGCTGTTCTTACTTTTGGGCCAAAAGCGAGGTCCAGCGTATAAAAAGATTCCGAAAACGATCAGAACAACTAGAAGCAAAAGGGCCACGATCGCTCCCACAATGCCTCCGATGTTCACGGGCTCTGAGAGGGAAAGAGACACACCAGTCAGAAATGTTATATGTGTGCAAAGCTGCATGCCACTGTTTTATACACAGAACAAATGACAGCAAGTTTAGTGGCCTTAAAAGTCCCTTAAGGAAGACGGCTTTTGTAGTTTTACCCAAACAAGTATGAAGAAAGGTTGGAGATATTTGTTTTTGGCCACGTTTGTTCACCACAGGCAACACACGACAAAAACAAAGCCTTTTGCTTCACTTGGCACTCCCTCAGCTCAGCACCTCAGGCAACTGTCCGGCTTGCCCAACCCAAAGGCTGGCCTTGACCAGAAAGCCAGGGTCACAAAGACCATTTTTTAAAATTGCAACAACCAAGGCCGGAAAACGTTAATCACCTGAAAGAATTTTCACAAGCATTTTCTCAGCTCATTTCCCCAGCATGCCGACATCAAGGCATTCCAGCATTGTTTCTCTTACCGGTCACCCTGAGGTGAACGTACACCTCCTTCACCCCCAGCGGGTTCTCAGCTTTGCAGAGGTAGTAGCCTTCATCAGCGCCGTGGGAGCAGTTCTGGATGAGAAGGGTGGAGACGCTGCCCTTTTGGCGGATGAGAAACCTCCCGCCAGACTGAATCTCTGTCCCCGGTTGGGTGACGTTGCGCAGCCAGGTGATTTTGGCCGGAGGGTTGCCGGCAGTTGCCTGGCAGGTCATAATGGCAGCTCGTCCTTCAAAGCAGGTCCTTAGAGGGTCAGACATGACCAAAGGGCCTTCTGAAAAAAGAAAAGCAAACAGAAGATTTGAAAGGCCTGTGACGACAATAGGATGAGCAAACACCTCATCCCCTCATGCAGGGAGAGCCCTTTTATAAGGCAGAGTTAGGCAGACACCTCAGATGAGAAGTGGGTGGCAAGACAAGGCTGTGTCGGCCTTGGGCCCCCTAAGCAAGGCTGTCGCTTTTCGTTGTGCTCTTTCATAGCCGGTTCAGTCGATTTTTATACGTAGACTGGGCAATGGCAACGAACATCTTGCCCTTTGCCTCAGGCAGCAAAATATCTTCTCTGATGTCCCAAGAAAGCAGCTTCATTTGCATCTCATGTCTGGAAGAGCACATACATCCTTTTCTCCTTTAAAATACAGGTCGAGATAGTGGGCAGATGGACAAGTGGCCTTCCTGGGACCAAGAGCAGGGAAGGATCATAGCTCCATACATCCTTTTCTCCTTTAAAATACAGGCTGAGATAGTGGGCAGATGGACAGGTGGCCTTCCTGGGACCGGGCCGAGAGCAGGGAAGGGCCATAGCTGAGTGGTGATGTCCAGACTTGACATGTTCAATTCCAGGTTGGGCAGGATTCCAGTCTGATGCTCTGGAGATCTGCTGCCACCAGTGCAGGGCAGAGCTGAGAAACACACGGTCCTCTGGATGTTCTTGGACTTCATCACCCGGCAGCCTTACCCAGCCTAGACAATGGTGGGGGATGATGAGAACTGAGATCCACCAACAGTTGGAGGACTGCACCTTCCTTACCCTTGAGTTCACATTTTAGGAGCAAGTTGGGCTATGAATCAAATAAATAATAAGGATGTAGTTGGAAGAATTTCCCCTTCAACTGAAAATTACCTTCCTTCCAACTGAATATTTCTCTACAAAAGCGAGCGAGGGGAGATTCTGCATCAAATAACCTACTTATTTTTAGTGGCTCAGCATCATGGCTGTGACTAGGCTGGAGAAATTGGGGATTTGTCTCATATCACCAAAATTTAGAGAGTACTGAAATCTAGAGGTGAGTCTATTGGCGAATGTTAGGAACATCTCCAACATTATTCAAGGCCTTCCTTCCTTCCTTTGGAATACATTAACTTTCTGTTTCTCTTGGAGGGACACCACATCCACCTCCTCCTTTTTCGTGAGTGTGTAGGAGACCACACTGCTTGCCCTAGGAACTAAAATAATTAGCTACAGCTCTGCTCAGCAAAACTATGTTACTGTTTATTGCAGTCTAGATTGTCGTGATGTGTGAACCCAGTTCTTTTATTAAAAAGTGCCGTGGCTTATTAACCAGCCATAAAACACAATCTGAACCTCTGGTTGGTTTCTTGCTGACTGATAAATCAAAACCCACAACTGTGATTGGCCCCAGCTTGTTTTCACCCACCCTGAAATGGGAGCTGGAAAAAGAGGTGGGAGAGAAACTATCCAGAAATGGGGGAGACAAGCCATGGTTTGTTTAGTCATCAGCGGTGTCTTTGCAACAAACCATGGTTAGCACAAACCATTACTTTGTGATATGCAAACGTATCTTTTGGAACATTGACTTTTTTGAACTATAAAAATCCCAAATCTCCTTGACAGTATGGCTGACTGCCATACTTGCTGTGGAAATCAGGAGCTGTAGTCCTCATTCTTATGACTCACCCAACTGTATGGGGCAAGCTTGGCTCTCTTCTTGATTTGTGATATGTTGACCGTGGCACACGAACTCCTTCCCGTAGGGCAGATGTGAGCTGTTCAGGTTGGCCACAATAGTATCTGTTCTGTTGATGGTGTCAAAGGCCCAGGTTATGTTCTTCTGGTTTGTCCACTGGAGTGTGGGGTGTGGGTACCCTCCAGGCCAGGTGCAGAAGAGCTGTACCATACCAGAATCTTCCGTGGAGGTCTGAGCCCAACAACGAGGTGACAGTGGTGGAGGATCTAAAGAAAGAATCCCACAAAATTAACGGGATGAGTTTCTCTAACCTTTAGATCCCTGAGCAGAAATCTATGATTAACATACACATGCACACACATACATCTTATATCCAAACTAATGCAAACTATCACTCACCAGATGTTGCTGGATTACATATCCCTCCTTCTCCAGCCACAAGGTATGTAGACAATGGATCTGTAGTCCAACATAATCTGTTAGTCAGTAAAAAAACCGAGAAAAGTCTGCTCTGGCCAGGATACCCTGTTTAACCCAAGGCGCCCTTCCAAGTTTTATAGCTCAGTAGGAGTCTGAGACATAAATCTAATTTCTGGCCCCTGCTCAGCCGACTGTGGAAGAGTAACTCAACATCTGTGTACAACTCACTGTGATTCAATGTGTTCCCACTAATTGGGTCTAGCAATTGGATTTAGGTTGGAATCTTTGTCACAGCTCTCAGATAAAATGAACATTTTAAAAACTGGGTGATTTGGTCATTGTTCTGTTTTTAAGTATTGTCTCTCCTCTTTCTTCCCACCATTTATTTGTATTGCTGCTTTAATTCTGTGAACTGCTTTGGAATGTTACGAGGATGGGATATAGACAACAACAGCAAAAGCATGACTTTCGCAACCTAAATGGCAAACCAAGAAAATACAGATGAACTTTCTTTGACACTGGTTGTTATCTTATTGTATGCACCTTCCTTCTGCTTCTAATGTTCAGCCAAATCACTATATATATATCGCACAAAAGGAAAGTCTCAATAGGTTTGGGGGAACTCCATAATTCTTAGAAAGACCCTCTCAGGTGGGAGAAGGGGAAGCCTCCTTAAAACTCAGTGAAGACTGAATGTGCTCACCAGGCATGAAAACCTGGCCAATACTGGAGAGATGAGAAAAGAATATTGTAGAAGCAGGAGCAGCTGGTCCACTTTTCGTATGGAACTTTTTGGCTGCAGGAACTACTTGTTTTTGGTGCATTTTAAAATTGACAGGCCAGTATCCTACTGCAAGTTCCAACTAGACTTGACCCGCTGGCCAAAATCCTGTTGCTTAGCATAGTAAACCACACTAGAGTATTCACATTGAATCTGTGGGGATTTCGTGAGTCAGCTCCTCAATGAATTCCACTGACTCGAATGGACCTATCTTAATGAGGATTTACTTTAGCACAAGTTGCAGGCACGGCATATCCACTTAAATTAATGGAACTTATGGAGGCGCTGATTCGCCAAATCCCCATTGATACTCTAGCACAATTTATGACACTGAGCAATGGCATTTTGGGCCAACGAATCAACTGCTGAATGTTAAGCCAACACTTATATAAGACCCACAGAGTCACTGGGGCTGTTCTAGTTGACATCATTCTTTGTTTTTTACTTATTTAAAATAATTTTACCCCACTTTTTTTCCTTAGAAGGACCCAAGGCAGATCCTTTCATCAACTGGATAATTGTGTGATCTCCTTTATCAGAATTTAAAATAATTTTACCCCACCTTTTTTCCATAAAAGGACCCAAGGCAGATCCTTTTATCAACTGGATATTGGCTTAATTGTGTGCTCTCCTTTATCAGATTTTTTAGAAAACAGCTCATTGGTGACAGAAATAGAAATCAGCAGAATGGAAAAGCTGTATGGGAGCCACCACCTTGCCTGGGCTTAGTCCCAGAACCTGTTTTGCAGGGAATGAAAAGACTAGCTTTCAGCAATACAGAAGCAAGGGAGGGGCAAGGCACACTGTGGGTCAGGGTGTAGCTACCTGACGGGCATCGTCAAGGAGACCAAGCCTGCCTATCATGCAAGAAAACACACATCAAAAAAAAAAAATCCCCAGAGGGAAATAAAATATTTTTCTTCTAGAGGTGCATACATATGGAGATCTATTTTTCATTTCCCTTCCCTCTCCAAGCCCATTTTTAGGCATGAATGCTAAATAATCTATACACAGCCCCAAATTTTTTTTGGGGGGGGAGGCAAAGCAAGCTGCACCCTCCAGATGCAATGGGGTGGACAAAGTGTGGCAATTTTATTTGTGCTTCCAAGTGCCCTCACCTCAAAGCCTGCCCCTTCACAGAAATAATCTGGACTTTCCCAGTCTTGGAAAGCTTCAGAGAAGGTAGTTTTGCCTCTAAAAACCCGAACAGGAGCTGAGTCCTCAGCTGCTTCCCGTTTCAATTTGTTCCCTTTTTTCTTTTTGCATTCAGCACTCACCATCCAAGAAATTAGTGGAGGGCTATAAACACCCTTAGAGACTTTTTTTATTAGAGATGGGCACGAACCGGTTCATCCTGGTTCGTAAAGCCAGCAGCACAGATGCTGCTGCTCCCCTCCCTGCCTCCTCTGGCTCAAACAGTCACTCTCCAGGCCCAGCTTGCTTGTTTTTTCCACCTCCTCAGCTGATCTCCCAGTCCCGGCAACAGCTCAGGCTTCTCTGCCCTCGTGCCTGATGCGCTCTTGCTCATGACTGGGAGATGAGCGGTGGCACCTTTATGACCTGGGACGAACCAGTTTGTGCCCATCTCTAACTTTTAAGGATAAAAATGAGGAATGGTTTGCTATGCACATGGCATTGAACTTCCAAGAGGAAAGGTGAAATCTACATGAAATAAAGAAACAAGAAGAATCCCTTAGCATACATACAGTAGATCAGAAGTTCATAGGTCGCAGTTGCCCGATGGCTACTGAGTGGGTTGGTTGCTGAACAGGAGTAATTCCCTTGGTACTGGGGGGATATGTTGTAGAGGACAAAGTAGCCCAGGGAGTTGTTGACTTCTGTGAACAGTTCTTGGGTGGAACTGGACTGGATGAAACTCCATTCGGTTGTGGGTACAGGCTGGGAATCACTGGCGCAGGTGAAGTTAACAATGTCATACCTCCGTGCATACAGTGTCCCATTTGGCAGTGCTGTGGTGGGAGAGATGTTGATGCTCACTCTGTCAGGTCCACCTGCAAGATGGGCATAAGAAGCATTGTTTCTTTACAGACAACCTTCCACATCTGTATAAGGTCCCCAAAGCAGCTCACACATGAGATTTGTGTATTTTTTGAACGACAACATCCCAAAGTCTGATGGAACTGCTCTGCTAGAAATCTGGGAGGTTTATCCCTTCCCTAAAAGCCATGGTGTTTTAGATCTTACAGCTGGTATTTAAATGAGAAAAGTCCCCCACACTTCTTATTTTTAAGTTCTAATGTGCAGGAACTGGCTGAGCAGGGCATCGCTTTGACACTGCAAAGCATATGGGGTATTGTAGTTCCTTGAGAGGCATGCTGTACAAAGCATAATGGGTCAGGAGACTACAATGTCCATAATGCTTCAGAGTGCCACGGAGCTTGCCCCACCTAGCCAGTTCCTTTATCTTGGAATTCAAAAACTTAGGGAACTTTTCTTCTTTATACAACAGCTGTACGTGTGGTGTTGTGATTGGAGCATTGCGCCCAGACTCTGAAGACCTGGGTCCAGATTCCCACTCAGCCGTGAAAGGTGACCTCGGATTAGTCACAGTTTCTCAGCCTAACCTACCAAAGTTGCTTGAGGTCAAAACGGGGAGGAAGAGAGCCTTAATGACAAAACAGGATATAAAAGTTAACAGGTAAAAGAATAAAGGTAACATGCCACCTGATCCTTATATCAGTGCTGAGGACTTGAACCAGAAACCACCTGAAAGAAAACTACATGCTCCTAAAAGCGGGATACATTATTTTACCTAGAGCCTCATGGCACAGTGGTTAAATTGCTATAGTGCAGCTCAAACTGTGCTCATGACCCCACAATTCAATCCCAGGTAGCCGGCTCAAGGTTGGCTCAGCCTTTTATCCTTCTGAGGTCCGTAAAATGAGGACCCAGCTTGCTTGGGAAGGGGGGCAATGTGTCGCCTGCATAATTAACTTGTAAACTGTCCAGAGAGTGCTTTAAGCGCTATGGGGCGGTATATAAGCAGCACACTTTTTAAAATCTCACTTTTAAAAAAATGTAAACCTTTTAAAAATCGGGCACTCTTTTTAAGCTACCTGGACATACTTCCTTCCTGCTTGGTGGAGGCCTGGACACTGATTCAGCCAGAAGCATCCCTTCTGAAAAGGTACCCTATAGCCCAGCTTGCAGTTGTTTTGGGAAAGAGGGTGCAGCTCTGTGGCTGGAACATACATACACGGGCACAACTGCCAGCGCACCGCACCTTGAAAGCAAACAGGAAACGAAATGGAGAACCGAGCCAGAAAGCAAGCGATGTGGATGAGGGAAGATAATCCAGTTCGGAGGAACACAGCAGCACTCCCATAGTTGGGCGGTGGGGATAGGGGTATTGTAGTTGGCAAACGTAGCTGGGGAAGGACCACTTGAATCAGGAACAGATGTTAGAGAAAGGTCATAACGGGAAGATGCACCAAATTCTCAGCCACTGTGAGAGTCTAAATATTGCAGACCAAGCTTGTCTCACCTGTGGGATTATGCTGACTCATTTTATGCTATGTCATCAGGTTGTGTCAAATGCAACCAACACCTGCAAGTCCCCCCAAATCCTTCTCCTTTGACTATGGCTGACGGGAGTTACAGTCCAACAACATTTGGAAGGTCACAGTTGCCCAGTCCTGACACAGAGGAACAAATCGTCTGATCGGGCATAACTTTCGACTCACAAGGATTAGACGCTTGCTGTATTTTTTTTAAAGTTAAACCACTGGTCATCAGATTAAGCAATGGGTGAGTCAGAGACGGATGAACACCATGTTTTGCTAGAAAGTCAAGCATTATACCTCACTGTTTGCCAAGTCACAGTAGGCCCTGGTGGACAAGGGGTACAAAGTAGACATGGGATATTCGTATTCGTATCCCTGGGGATACGAATATGAATATCGGCACCACAGATATCTGGGAAATCCAGTCCCTCCCCACTGAACCGGCAGATCCAATTACTGGTCGCTGTGCGGTGCACGCGGCTGCTGGCATTCTTGTTGCACCAATCACAGAAGTAGCCCATCTGGCACTCCCCCCCCCCGGGACAGCCTACCCCTCAACAGCTGAGTGGGGAGACTAGTCATCCCGCCTCCTTACTGGAGTGGTTGGCTGCACAGGGAGGAAGGGGAAGTTCTGGCCAGGCCGCTTCCCGGACTGGCACAACGAGGATGACCATGTCTAGTACAGTCTGAGCTAGTATAAAGCCAAACATATGATCATACCCATAATGTCTAAAAAGTCGATTTATAACTTTATGATGATGATGATGATGATGATTGTGATTGTGATTGTGATTGTGATTGTGATTGTGATTATTATTATTATTATTATTATTATTATTATTATTATTATTATTATTATTATTATTATTATTATTATTATTATTATTAAGACTAAGCAATGCTGGGACAGATGGACAGTCTTAGCATCCTAAAAGGCAACTGCCTAGGTTCCTAGAGGTTTCCTGGCCATATCTGGCCAGCAACCAAATGGCCTCCATGCATTATTTAGCTGCCAAGCAAAGAGGATGGGTCCCGACTTACTGGCCACGAGCAACTGGATCCTATGCATGTGTTTTGTCTCGTTCAGCACTTCCTTGCAAGTATAGTTGCCTTCGTCCTGCCGTCGCAGCCCCGAGATGTGCAAGGAGCTGTTCCCCACCAACGAAAGGCGAGCATCAGAAGGAAGCTTGCCATCCGAGGAGAAGAGGATGGGAATCGCTCCAGGCTCCCCATGGAACCATTCCACTCCAATGGCCTGCCGAGACGCATTCCAGCAGGTCAGAGTCACATCCCCTCCGACTTCCCCAACCACCTGTTCTTCAGTTCCTGCAGACAGAGAAAGACATCTCAGTGATATCCATTCATTCAAACAGCCTGCTGCAGAATACCTAGTGGATTCTAATGACCTTTGCAGACAGACTGTAATATGGTTGTTGTTGTTGTTATGTACTGTCAAGTTGCCTCCGACTTACGTTGACCCTATGAATGAGCAATCTCTCCACTTTGCCCAGCATTATTGTCTTGTCCAGAGAACCCTACCTTCTCATGATGTGCCCAAAGTAGAACAGCCTCAGTTTCAACACTTTTGCCTCAAGAGAGAGTTCAGGCTTGATTTAATCCAGGCTCCACTTGTTTATCCTTCTGGCAGTCCAGGGTATCCACAAAGCTCTCCCCCAGCACCAAATTTCAAATAATTCTTTTCTCCCTTCTCAGCTTTCTTTACAGTTCAGTTTTCACACCCACACATCCCCCCCCCCAAATATTGTTTAACCATTAGGTCCTTATTTTTGTTATCTGTATGTACATATCATGTTTTGTTTTGCTTTCACCTTCTAAAAATGTAACTGATTATTCAACTATATCCATATTTTTTTGGAGAAATTTCAATACGTGTGTGTTGATTGAAAAAGAGTGATTTTTATGCAGACCAAACCCAGGCGAACTGTTGTTGCAAAGCAGAAATGAGCGGTTCAATTGGGCTACTATTGTTTGAAACAGAAACGCACTGAAACCAAATGGGGGTGCAGTGTAATTGCTTACGAGGAACCACCAGGTTAGACCACTATTGGTTTCATGTGCACACAAGGAGTGCTACTCCTGTCCTCTGAAGATGCCAGCCACAGAGACTGGCGAAACGTTAGGAAGAACAACCTTCAGAACACGGCCAGACAGCCCGAAAAACCCACAACAACCATTAGATTCTCCAAATACTTGGTGAATACTTAGAGCTCCTTACCAACTTTACCCTAGCACTATATCACTCCCTGTAACAATGAACATATGTTGAGTGTGAACAGGCCACCAAGAAACAAGATGAAGAGGTAAGTATCTGCAGTGGTTCCTAACCTTGGATCCCCAGACGTTCTTGGACTAAATCTCCCAGAAGCTTTCACCACCAGCTGTGCTGGCCAGGATTTCTAAGAGTTGTAATCCAAAAACATCTGGGGACCCAAGGTTGGGAAGCACTGAAACCCTAGAATATGCAGAGGAACTTCAAGTTAATATTTCTTAAATCCTTCTATGACTGGGGGGAAAAAAGAAAAAAAAAGAAACCTGGGCAAGAGGAAGAAAATGGAAAATCTACACAGAAGGAAAACCTAGTTGCTATATTTGGCAGGAGAACATTATGCTTGCATATAAAGAGTCACTGTAGTGTTTGTCAGCATTATTCAAGGTGTGGAAAAATACTTTTTGTGCGTGATGTAACACTCAGAATCTCCCTACTACAGTGGCACCTCGCTTTATGATTGCCCTGCATTATGCCAAAACTGCATTACGATGATCTTTTTGCGATCGCAAAACAATAGTCTGAATAGGGGTTTTTTGCTTTGTGATGATTAGTTCCCTGCTTCAGGAACCGATTCTTCACAAAACGATGATTTTCGGACAGCTGATTGGCAGTTTCAAAATGGCCGCCAGGTAAATAAAATGGCTCCCCGCTGTTTTCTGGGACAGATTCCTCGCAAGACAGCCACTGAAAATGGCTGCCCTATGGAGGATCTTTGCTGGACAGTGAATTCCCAGCCCATTGGAACGCATTGAAGGGGGTTCAATGCGCTTCAATGGGCTTTTTATTTCCGCATTACATTTTCCTTCTACAGCGATTTCGCTGGAACAAATTAACGTCGTAATGCGAGGCACCACTGTATGTTGTCTGGCAAATTCTGGAAGGTATAGATTGCACACATACTTTTTCTAGAATCTAATATCATTAAACATTTATGTAAAATTTTATAGGTTCCTCAATATTCTCATAATGGACTACATTTAAAAATACATTCTTTATTGAATATTCACTGCCAAGTTTCCCAAGTGCTTCATCTAGGCTGGGGCTCAGATGTGTTTTGAAGCCTCGCCTTTATTTATATATAAGCCTAGCCTGCACTCTTATACACACACAAATGCCTGGGAGTAAACCATTTTTTTATGAAATACCTATAGCAAGTTCCAAGGAAGACAAACAAGTCCTGTTCAAAGATTATGGAAAGGAAAATATGGTTACCCAATGGAAAAGGGATATACTCTGAAGACATGCACACAGTATTTTTACAAATGAATCTGTCCCATGTTTAGTCTGGAGCATTAAAGTTTGATTGCGAAGACTGAGAGCTACTTAATTAAAATCAAAACCCTGGTCAGAACGCTGTGGGAATCAAGAAGCATAAACATAAGCAGGGTGTTTGATTTTTCTAGATATCATGCAGTTAGACATGCCCAGATCTTGCTCTCTGGAAAAAACACACCAGCTTTTACAGTTTCTTTCATGTATGTGGTAGTTCACATTAGGATTTTGGCCTGGTATAAATCAAGTAATTAAACAATAAATAAGTCTTGATCCATCGTGACTCTTCCTGTTATAGGAGAAGGTACTGATATACGACCACATACTGATGCACCTTCTTTTTAGTACATCACTTACTTAACCATTGGATTTCAGTGCACCCTTTCCCTTCAAAATGATGGATTTCTTGCTTTTTAAATCTGAAACATATTCATTTATTGTCCTATTACGTCTTCCTTCCCCACCCCAATAAGCCACTTTCTCTTTCCCAAACCCATAACTTTTCTAGAGCATCAGATCTGAATACTACAAATGCAGGAACAGGTGATACCTTTATTGGACCATTAGGAAAATAAAACACACAAGCAAAAAATAAAGGGAGCTTTCGGCTTGTTCAGGTTGTGCACCAAGTTCTGGTGGGCAGTTGGAAAATCATGTGTCTATATTAGAGTCCCAAAGTTTCATCTCTCTCTCCTGTCTCGCTACTCTCTCACACACAGCTCAGTTGCTAAAGAAGCCCACTGAAAATACAAAGTGAGCTGTGAAAAAGTGGTACGTCCTGGAGCTGTCCAAGACGCATCCTGCTTCGCACAGCAGGGCCTGGGGGATGGAGAACCATTTCCTGATGGTCTGCAAAACACGATCCGGGATATTTGGGATGAAGTACGCTCCCTGGAAGGACAGATCCTGAAGCTGAGGCTCCAAGATTTTGGCCATCTCATGAGAAGAGAAGACTCCCTGGACAAGACCCTGATGTTAGGAAAGAGTGAAGGCAAGAGGAGAAGGGGACGACAGAGGACGAGATGGATGGACAGGGTCATCGAAGCGACCAACATGAATTTGACCCAACTCCGGGAGGCAGTGGAAGACAGGAGGGCCTGGCGTGCTCTGGTCCATGGGGGTCACGAAGAGTCCAGACACGACTTAATAACTAAACAAGAACAACAACCAACGTAAAGAGTTGGTTGCATTGTTTTTAAGTGACTGGCATCGTTCCACCCTTGTGGGCACGGCCGGAAAAGGCTGCCTGATGCCAACGGCGCCCTGACCGAGTCGCCCAGCCGTAGGAAAGGTGGCACCGACCCCCCCTCGATCCTGTAGCAACTCTGCACGCAGGGGGGGAAGGCTTATGGATTATGAGTAACCATTTTATTGAACATTTGAAAAAAGCTTATGATTGTCTATACAATCCTAACTGATTTTCTTATAATGACTGTGCCCCCATGTGAGTAGAGGGGATAATAAGTGAATTAATTAACCTAAAGAGGAATGTGTATGACCTGATGTAAAGTTCATTAGCTGTGAACGGGTATATTGCCAGGTTATTGTATTTAGCCACGTGTGCTATAAATGCCACTGGCTTACATTAATGTCACTCAATCACCCACAATTATGGCCAGTAATTAATCAACAAGCCATATTCTTGAATGCCACTGCCTTAGGTTTTGGAGTTGAAATGATACATTTTGACCAAAAAAACAAAACTCCCGCCACTTGCCCGCCCCCTTGGAGGCGGCTCTGGCCCGCCGGCCTGCTTCCCTCGGTGGTGATGGCTCTCTCTCCCCGCCTACCCTCGGGCAGGACTCCGCTCGCTCCGGGGAGAAGACCCGGCGGCCACACGCCGGCTGCTCAGTGTAGCCGGTGACCCATGAGTAGGCCCATTGGGTTGAGGCGGACTTGGCCAACCCTCCTCTGTCAGGGACAGGATTGTGACCTGCACACGTTTTAAGGCAATGCTTTTAAGGTTTTGATTTTGCCTTTTAAAATTGTTTGCTTTTAAATTGTTACGAGCATCCTAGATTTTAAAATCATTGCATGCAGCTCCGGGATCCACACCTTCAGCTCCTGTGGCAGATAGATCAGGCTATCAATAAACATTCATCCACCCTGGTGTAGTGGATAGATAGCAGTGCTGGGAGAGGACTCTGGTGACCTGGGTTAGATTTCCTGACTCTGCCCTGGAAGCTCACTGGGGAAGTGGAACTAGTACAGCCGCTCCTTAAATACCTCACTTGCCTTGAAAATCCTTTTTGGGTTGCTATAATTTAGTTCTGACCTGATAGTCGTAGCAACAACGTATACATGTTTGAAACAAATATATAAGTAAGATCTGTTTTCTAACACGATCGCTTGCTGACAGTTTGCTCCTGATAATCTGGATTTCTCGGCCCACAACCAGGCACGATGGACACAAAATGGAGGAGGCCAACACGGGGATCGCTCAGGTTTTGGCCGAACTATTTGCAGTTGTAATTACTGTTGGGATGATGGGAGAGATGGCAGATCATGACAAGTCAGATCATGACAGACGTTGGAAATTGGGTGAGAAAAACATTTATAGAAACAGACCCAGAAAGACTTTGTTGGACCAAACAGCAAATGTGGAAAACAGAACATGTCTTGAGAAGATGATTATATGACAAAGCGTTTAGGGGGCCAGTGTGATAATGGACATTTCAGGGGTTTGAAATGTTCCCCAGAGCAGAGAAATGATGGGCATAGATGGAGACTTCCCACCTCTATGCTTGGCTCCAAAACAACATAG